CACACACACACACACACACACACACACACACACATACACTTCCGCACACACACACTCATGTCACTGTACTGCGCAGTGATTTCCGGCTGCGAATGGGACGGTGTTGAGGCGTATGCGTTTGTGAGCTATCGGGAGGGTGCCGGTGTCGCCTCGCAACTGCACGTCGATGACGTCTCTGTCTTCCAGCCAGCCCTCTCCTCCATCGGCACCTCGCTGACTCTGGTACGTCTGTCTGTCTGCCTGCCTGTCTGTCTGTCTGTCTGTCTGCCTGTCTGTCTGTCTGTGTGACACTCACGCCATGCATAAATGCTTGGTTGTTCTATGGCAACAGGATGATGAACGTGTTCGCGCCTTCTGCAAGAAGGTGAACCGACGACCCGTCGACACGCTTCTGTACACGTGATGTGTTGTGTATGAGTGCGTGTGTGTGCATGTGTGTGTGAAGGTGTGAAGGTGTGTGTGTGCAGGTGCGTGTACGTGGTGGATGAACATTCCGCCAGCCCACGCCAAGCTCTCCTGGCTCCCCAACGTTGTGCCCGACATCATAAACTGTTGCTGTGGCTTGTCAATTGAGGGATATTGGACAATTTGTCGTCCTTTGAAAATGCACATATGGTCTCATTTGTAAGCGCACCTCCTCAAACCCCACCAACCACTGCTGCGACCGCAACTATCACAGCCGAGCAACAAGCGAGATGTTCAGGAGCATCGTGAGCCGGCTTGCTTCGTCGAGCCAGATGGGTGTGCTTGCCGCACGCCGCAGCGTCGCCACCTCTTCTCGCTCCAGCATGGCAGCGGGCAAGCTCTTCGTGGTGCGTATTTGTGGCGGTCTGTCTGTGTCTGAGCGTGTGTGTGTGTGTGTGCAAACATGTGTGTGTACTACATGTGTGTGCAAAAATGTGTGCATCTCTTTCTCTCTCTATCAATCTATCACTCTATCACTCTATCACTCTCCCACCCCTACCCCCTTGCCTGGCTGTCTGTCTACGTCTGCGTGCTTGAGTGGCAAGTGCTTGGCGTAGCGCAAGCCAACGCCACAGCTGTGCTGCAGATACAAGTGCAAACTCACACCAACTGGTTCCATGTGCGTTTCCCCATTGCCGCACACTCCCTTCATTGTTGCTGCTTCACTTGCGGTGGTTCTCTGCTTAGCACCGCGACTCTGAGGAGAACAACGATGAGACGCCTTTCAAGTTTACAGACAGCAACATGAAGGTGTGCACGAACACACACACACACACACACACACACACACACACACACACACACACACACGCACACACACACACAAACGCGTGCCCACGCGCGCTCCCCTTTTGCTGATGGCTGACAGCATTGTTGCTTTTGTTTCACTGCACCCTGACCTGTGCTTCAATAGCGTGTTGAGGCCATCATTGGACAGTTCCCTCCAAACCACCGCAGCGCGGCATGCATCCCCGTGCTCGACCTTGCACAGCGTCAGAACAACGGTCGGCGCCACATCACCATGCATGAATGCACCCACGGCCTTGTGTGTCTCTGTGTGTGGTGGATGTGTCTGTGTGATGTGTGGATGTCTGTGTCTGTGTTTGTACGTGTGTATGTGTGTGTGCGTTTGTATGCACAGAAGAGGGGCTGCGCTGTGTGGTCGTCTGCAGCTCTGCCTGAAAAGGTTTTTCTTCGTTTGCCTTGCTCTTGCACTTGTTCACCTGGCCACGCGCACGTTTAATTGCTTCGCAGGCTGGCTTCCCCTTAACGCCATGAACGAGGTGGCAAAGATCCTGCGCATGCCCAAGATGCGTGTGTACGAGGTTGCGACCTTCTACACCATGTTCAACAGGTGTGTGTGTGTGTATGTGTGTGTGTGTGCATGTGCTTGTGTTGTTGCATGTGCCGTCCTCAATGCTTCTGGACTGCTGCCGTTTCTGTGCTACCCAAGTACTACAACTACAATTCACGTGACTGTCTTTGAGACAGAAGCTGACCTCTGCTCTCTCGCGTCTCTCACGCCCACACACACTTGCAACTGTTGCGTGCCACAGAGAGCCGGTTGGCAAGTATCACATCCAGGTGTGCACCACCACGCCCTGCATGGTTCGCGGTGCATACAAGGTCTTCGATCATCTCAAGGCCAAGCTTGGTGAGTCCTTGGTTGACCTCGACTGGTCGCGTCGCCATATTCACTCTGGAACCCGCTTGCGGCCTGCAGTTTATGCACACACACACACTCACTCACTTACTCACTGACTCACTCACTCACTCACTCACTCACTCACTCACTCACTCACTCACTCACTCACTCACTCACTCACTCACTCACTGACTCACTCACTCACTCACTCACTCACTCACTCACTCACTCACTCCACTGACATCACTGCTGCCACTACCACCACCACACCACCATCCATCAGGCCTTGAGAACGGGGAGACGTCTGATGACAAGCTGTTCACGCTGCTGGAGGTCGAGTGCCTCGGCGCATGTGCAAACGCCCCCATGATCCAGATCAACGACGAATACTACGTACGCACCCCGCTCGTTGTTGCACTGCAGTACTCTAGCCAACGCACACACACACACACACACACACACACACACACACACACACACACACACACACACACACACACACACACACACACGCACGCACGCACGCACACACGCACACACACACACACACCTCTTCACGTGCCAAGCAACATTGCTTTCCGTTTGTTGTCACCATCGTCTCTCTGCATCCCTTGCGTACATGTGCGTGTGCGTGCGCGCGTGTGTGCACACAACAGGAGGACCTGACGATTGAGGATGTGGACAGAATTGTGGATATGCTCAAGGCCGGCAAGACCCCAAAGCCAGGACCACAGTAAGCACCCTTCCCCTGCCGTTGCGTGTGCCTGCTTGTGGTCAACGTCACCACTTGTGTACACGTTGCTGCTATTGCTGCTGGCACAGCTGCATCCGCAACCACCATCTCACTCACTAACATACACACTCACCACTCACATTCAACTATCCATTGCCGTCAGGTCTGGGCGCAACGCTGCTGAGCCGTTGTCTGGACAAACAACGCTTCTGGAGACGCCGCCGCCGCCAGACCACCTCTTCCGCAAGGACGGCCAGCTCTAGGCTGCTGCACTCGTTGCACCCGATATGCAGTGGGTTCATGGGGGGGGGGTGGGAGGCTGTGTGTGTGGTTGAGCGTGATTGCCGTGTATGTGTGGGTGGAAAGGGGTCAGCTGCAATGATGTGGTGCAGTGTTGCAACAAGCCATAAAACGTGCAAGGGTTGACTGCAATGTCCATCGGATTAGATTGCCTTGCTGGTCCGTGCACTCGAGCGTACGTGCTTCATAGACTTAATCTGTGCGTGTGGCGGTCGTCGAGGAAGTGCAGTGTATTTGCTTGCAGTTGTACGATACCAACCAATCGAGAACAAGCGGGAAGAAACAGGGGAGGGTGTCGCACCATCAATACACACCAGAGGTGTTGAAGCAGGTACGAACAGGGCGGGGGGAGGGGAAGAAAGACAATGCCAGCCAGCGAAGACGGGGGCAACAGGGAGCGGGAGGGCGAGGCGCGGGTGCATGATGAGGCATGACTGACACTGCTGCAACCAGCTGGACGGCTACAACAGCGATGCACTGCGTCTGCACGCACGCAAGCACACCCACGCACACACATGATGAAACGGCGCAAACCCATCGACATGCGTCATCACCCACCCACACACGTCACGTTACAACCCAATGTACAACAACACAAGCAATACACTTGCACGGGTCCTCAAAAAAGGATGCGTCCAATATCGCCAACGTATATCGTTGGGGAAGGGAGAATAACCAAACATCGCAAGCACAACCACAGCGTGCAAAAACACACACACACACACACACACATGACATCATGTCCACAAAGCACGCCACAGCAACGCAAACACCAACACCAACGCACACCACACCACGAACTGGTGGGGGTCATGTCACATCGTTTCACAGCAAATCACATGTACAAGCACGAGAACGGCGACGCAACAGGGAACAAACCACAACAGCCCACCAGTACATGCCAAGACATGAACAAACAAAAACGAAAACAGGCCAAACGCTACCGAGAGAAAAGTAAAAAAAAAAAAAAAGGAGGGGGGGGAGGTGTTAATGGGCACGACGTGCAGTCACATTGAAGATGGAGCGGTTGAAGTGTTGTTTGGGTGAAGAGGAGTGGTGAGGGTGGTGTGTGTGTGGGGGGGGAGGGGGCGGTTTAGCGGCGACCGGCGTCGCCAGCGGGAGGGGCACGTGGGGCACCGCCACGGCCGCCAGGGCCGCCAGGGCCACGGGGACCGCGTGGTGGACGGTCACCGCGGGGTGGGCGGTCGCCAGCACGGCGCTCACGGCGCTTGTCAATGATAAGCACAGAGTCGTGCACAACAAAGGTGCCGCGCTTCTCCTCGGCAAGGCAGGCGTCGGCAGCCTGGGGCTCCGTAAACTCGACCACGGCGCACTTGAAGTTGCTGGTGTTGCTGCGGGTGCGGAAGCTGTCGACGGACTGGACGTCGCCGATGGCGCCAAACACGCCGCGCAGCTCGTCGTCCGTGGTGCTGAGGGGAACGTTCTTCACAAACAGGGAGCGGGCGTTAAACTCCTTGTCGTCGCGGTTCGGGCGGCGCGGCTTGTTCTCCTGGTTGCCGCGGCGGGGGCGGCGCTCGCCAGCGTGCTTGCCCTTGGCGCCCTGGGTCTGCTGATGCTGCTGCTGCTGCTGCTGTTGCACCTGCTGCTGCTCCGGCTCCTGCTGCGAGACGGCCTGCACATTCTCGCCCTGCTCGTCCTGGCCCTCGCCCTTCTTCTGCGGCTTCTGCTGCTTCTGCTTCTGGGCCTGCTTAGCCTTCTGGGCCTGCTTCTGGGGCTTGTGCTGGGGGCGAGCAGATGTGGCGGCAGCTGCGGGCTTTGCGGCGGCGGGGCGGGACACGAGCGCAGCCCACGACGACGGCTTGACGGCGGGGCGCACAGGGGCGGCCTCCTCGACAACAGGCTGCTCCTCAACCTCGGGCTGCTCCTGCTGCTCGGGCTCTGCCTCCGCCAGCTGCTGCGGCTCCTCAACCTCCTCCACCTGCTGCTGCTCGGGCTCTTGCTCGACAACCGGCTGGGCAGCCTCAACCGGCTCCTCAGCAACGGGCTCGGTGGCCTCGGCGACAGGTGCAGCCTCCTCAACAGCCTAGCGCAGCGCATGCAGTAGAGGCCAAAAAAACAGTCGGGGTTGAGTGTAGGCGTGGCAGAGATAAAACAGTGTTGGGGGGGGGGGAAATGAGGTTCGGAGGACGCTGGGAGAAAGTGCAGTGCATCCACACAAAGTGCAAGGGTCACCAGACACAAAAACACCAAACACCGATCAACGGCGCACAAACACATGCACACGCAGCACTTCCGCGCACGCGTGCACACACACACACACACACATACACACACCTGGACAGGCTCCTCCGGCTGCTGCTGCTGCTGCTGCTGCTGCTGCTGTGGCATGGTCTGCTGGTAAAACTGCTGCTGGGGAGCAGCGTCCTCGCGGCCGTGCAGGTACGTCAGCATGTCAAGGGCGCAGGCGTAGCGCTTGGAGTCCTTATCGCCCTGTGGTGGATGGTGGTGGGTGGTGCAGCGGAGGGTGGATTGCCGGGAGCAGAACACAAATTATGAGACGTGAGGCAGAAGCGGGCACGGCGTGGTGGCAGGTGTGGGGCAGCCGGCACAAAGTGCCATGCAACAGAAATAAACTGAGGAGCGGAACATTTGGGCGACTAGGTAGTCTTTGCCGTTTCCGTGCACATACACACATGTACACATACGCGCACACACGCGCACAATGTACGCGGGCTTGTACGGGCACCGGCACACTGCAAGCACACACGCACGGCCACTCGCTCGCGCACAATGCAAAATGCACACGCACACTCGCGCGCACAATGCACACTCACATCCTTGATGAGGACGAAGACCTGGGTGAACTTCTCGGCCTCCTTGCCGTTGGTGCTGATAAAGCCAACAAGGTGGACGGCAATGTGGCCAAGGGGCAGCTCAGCGCAGTTGATCTATGTGCAGAAGACACAAGGAAAGCACATAGAGAGAGAGAGAGAGGAGGGAGGGAGAGAGAGATAGGAGGGAGGGAAAGAAGAGGGCGTCAGGGCAGTGGTCACTCACACACGTCAAGACGAGCAACAAAACCAACCAACATGGGCAGGCAAACAATCGGCTGCATCAGAAACGGCACCGCTGCCACAACAGCAGCAGCAGCAGCAGCAGCAGCAGCAGCAAGACGGGAGTGCTTACCGAGGAGATCTCCGTGCGGGTCTGCAGGGGCTTGAGCTCGCCGGCGATGCCGTGGGTGATGTTCTCACGGCCATGGAAGGTGGTCTGCATACCAGCCTCGTCCGTGCGCACGGCGGTGGACTTTCCGAGGAGGTAGTACCTTCACATTGCATATGTGTGCGTGTGTGCGTGTGTGTGTGTATGTGTGTGTGTGTGCGTGGACGTGTCGATGGCAATCAACCCAACGAACGAGTACAGCATGTACCATGCACGTGAGAACAAACGACGATCATCCAAACTCGACAAACACACGCGCACATCTATGGCAACAAGAAAGACGTGTGTTGTGCTGCTATTGGGCGTGGATTCCATGTACACACGTCTCTTCTGTGTGATAACACACACGCACAACAGCACACGTGCGAGCGGACCCACTTCCCCCCCCCCCCGGGCCAAACCAAACGTGTGAAGCGCGCGCCCACGCTCACGCTGGTGGCTGTCCACAGTTCATCCTCCACACACACCAACACAAGCACACACACACACAAGCACATGAGGACGCACCTGCCAATGTCGCTGGGCTTCTCGTTCAGCGTCTGGTAGTAGACCTGGACGAAGAAGCGGCCAACCTGGTCGGCGACGTTAAGGTGCTCAACAGGAGTTGCCATGACGAACGGTGATGGGTGGTGGTGATGTACGCAGGGAAAGGGGCAAGCAGTGCTGGCAGCAGGCAAGAGTGTGTCTGTCGAGAGGCGAGAGTGCGAGCGTGTGTGCGCGTGGAGAAGAAGACAAACCAAAAAAAAGAGACGACTTGTGCTTATCTTTGGTGACTTTTCCAAACCCGAAACACACTACACTGCACTGCACGTGTGTGTCGTTGGAGACACGACACTCGCGAGCAAGAAGAAAAAAAAAGGGGAAGGAAAAAAAACCGTCCAGTGGCTGGGCCCGTCCCATGAGCGCAGCAAGTGAAGAAATGCCGAGTCAGCAATCGTGCCGATGACATCATTGATGTGAGCCAAACGATTGAAACGCCCGGTTCACGCTGAGTTCCTGAAAAAAAGGTGCAAATGAGCCAGAAACGATTGCTCGATGCCCTGCAATAACACATGATCTCAAGTTTCCTGGAATCGTGGTTGCAGCCATCGGGACAAGAAGAAGACAACAAGCTCACCACTCGCTGCCCTCCCCCCCTCCCCCAATTGCTTGCTCTGTTGCAAGCGGCTCGTGAACCGTGACTCAAGTCGCCCGTATCCCCATCATTTCCTCACTCGCACACAGCAGCAAACACAAACAAGTCCACTAGCACCGCGTCACGACAAGACCACCACCACCACGCGCCAGCAGCTAGCTCCGTGCCCTCCGACTCATCTTGCATTTGTGCATGCACCACCTCGCCACCGACGCCGTGGCGGCACACACAAAACACAACCTCGCCTCCTGCGTGACGGACGAAGGCGTTGTCAGTGACACCATGGACCTGTCTAGCCACGCAAACACCCCTCCGATCCCCGAAGCGCGCCATCAACCAACACAAGCAGAACAGCACGCCGCCAGGGTGTCGGCGCGCTTGGCCCAGTGCCTGCGCATCCGCGAGGATGCAGTGCCCCTCTCCGTGTGCAGCGGTGTCATTACCGTGTCCCGCATCTGGCTTCGCTCCTCTTCCCACACCCACTCCCTGCCTTCATCGCCGCGGTCATCTGTCGCTGGCGACAATTACACGCCGAGGAGTGCCACAAGCACCATGCGCAAAGTCAAGTCCCATAACGCATCAGATTCCCACCACCACCGCCACCGCCACTCTCGACGCAAGCCAAAGGTATGTATACGTACCAAGGCAATCACTGCACCTGTCACCTTGTGTCATTGTTACATCGTGTGGGTCGTGGGTGTTTTTTTTTTTTTGGTCAACCGCTGGGGCTTGAGCTTAATTGTTCAGTGCACACGATCGTTTCTGTCACCCACACTGAGCGTGGACAGTGACTGCTATGGTCACGTCGAACCCTTTCGCAGCATTGCCTCGATCGCCTTTGATCCTTTCTAGTTGATCGGTCCCACGCCCTTCTCTTTTCATCAACACCCCCCTCCCATACACACGCACACACACTTAACCCCCTCGCGCACAATACACTCCACTCCGTCTCACTAAATTAATTACTCATATTCACGCCAACTCGCATGCGCGCGCAGGAATTGTGCGATGTTCTGCGGGGCAGCCGAGGACCCCTGCCTCTGCTGGACGCCACATACACCCCAGATTGCTGCAACGATGATGCCGATTTGGCTGACCGCGCTAGCGACATTCAGTTCGTGCTGGGTGCCAGCCGTGCCAGGGCGGAGGCCATCTTGACCACGGGCGCGCGCCTGCGTGAAGACCCGCAGCTCTCATGGCGGTTCTCCCCCCACGACGCAGAGCATGACGAAATGTGCTCCTGGCGAGAGCAGCTCGGGCGACCAGAGAAGCTGATGATCTGCGTCGTCTCAGAGGACGGCTTTGACCTGGACCACCCAGCCCTGCACGAGCCCAACATTGCCGTCACCGTGCTCACAACCAACATGAAGCTGGCCCAAAACGTCATCCGCTACCGCCGCAACCATAGGCAGTTTGCTGTCTCCTGCTCCCGCGAGCTCTCCGCAGCGGAGGCACTCGACTGGGCACGCCATCGCTACACGCACGTCACCGTCGAGGCTGGGCCTCAGATGACAAACTTCCTGTTCCGTGGCCCGGCGCCCACGCCCGTGCTGTTCGACAGCGTGTGGATGGCCGCCTTTCGCTGCAAATCGCTGCCCCACCACGTGGCCCTGCACCACGGCATCAACGCCGAGGAAATCTCAGACTTTTTCGAGCAGCAGCACACACCCAAGGCCGGTGCTGTACAGCGCTCACGGCAGAAGAGGAAAGACCATCAGGCTGGCCAGCAGCACGCTCACTCGCCGCAGCAGCATCTGCGCGCGGGCGGCGCGCTCCGTGCACCCTCCACGTCCACCTCAACATACAACGCCTCCCACTCTTCTGAGTCGTCTGGTCTGGGCGCCCACCCGCCTCGGTACCCCGTCTCTGTCGCCACGCGTCAGTCGTCGACAAGCACCGCCACATCACCCAGACCTCGTTTTCCTAGTGACACAGACAGCGCGCGCAGCTTCGACCAGCGCAGCGCCACAAAGGCACCGCCGCTGTCGTCTTGCTCCTGCTGGCAGATGGGCGCGTTCCTTCGCACCCTGGACGCCCCCGGCCGCATTGAACACGCGCGGCGCATCTTTCCTAAGGCCCAGCATCAATAGCACCAGCACCAGCACCAGCACCAGCACCAGCACCACCAGCAGCAGCAGCGATTGCCTTCGCCTCGGCGCCGTTTAAGCAACCCCCCCCCCCCTCTCCCACCAAGTCCTGTCATTCTCTCTGTCCGTCTCGACAGATTGTCCTTGGTTGTTTGTTTGTTACTATATTCTCGATTGCTGCCTCGCAGTTATAATTGATGACAAGCGCCTGCGCCTTGTACACGTATTTTATTGATGGCGACGACAGCAGTGCCAACTTGGATTGCCGCGCCTGTTTGGCCGCATTCGCGACGGCAGTACTTGCATTGTCACGTGCCATGAAACAACAACAGTAAAAGCCCCAACTGTGACATGCGAACAACAACGCAAACAAGTGCTACAGCAACAGCTGGGGTCGACTGCAGCGGGCGAGCGAACAAAGCCAACAAAACAAACAAACAACACATGCACACAAAAGCAACCACACACGCACACAAACACAAGCAAGCAAACAACCAATCAATCACATGCACCTGAAGTCCAACTGTCGTGGTCGTTGGCTATGACGCATGGGTTCGCTTCTTGGTGGTCATGATGCGAAGAATGTGGCGAGCCGGCGTGACCACCTGTGTCCGCCGCACTTGTCTCCCCTCTCGAGTCGCCATGTCATAGTACTCGGCCCGCACAAAGTCACCTGCAAGCGCGTGCAGTGGCGACCCTTTCAGTATCTCGTACACGCCACCAACGGTCGTGGCAGGGCGAAGCAGAAGGCAGTGTGCCAGCACGTTGGCCGGTGCTGCCCTGGCCCTCGATGTTGTCGATTTCGTCGAGGTTGTCGTGGTGGTGCTATTGCTGCCTTTCGCAGAGGCTGTTGTGCTGCTTGCTGGTGCAGGCGAAGCATCTGCCGCCACCACTGGGCTCTGCATCGTCTCGAACGACGTGACAGGGTACACAAGCAGCGGCGGGCGCAGCTGGTGGACGGCCGTGTCAATGACAGCAAGCACCCCAGAGCCCTGGAGCATGTGCATGTGCATGCGCGAGTGAGTGAGTGAGTGAGTGAGTGAGGGAGTGAGGGAGGGAGTGAGTGTGAGTGAGTGTGAGTGTGTGTGTGTGTGTGTGAGTGTGTGCGTGTGTGTGAGTGTGTGTGTGCGTGTGTGAGTGAGAGAGAGTGTGTGTTGTTGAGCGATCACATTAGCGAGAAATTACAAGACGTCGATGCAAGTGAGTGATGGGGATCGGAAGGAGGTGCAAATCGTGCATGCAACGAGTGGACACCTGAAGGTGCTCGCTTGACGCTAGGGTGTGGAGCAGGTCAACAGCTTTGTGCACGTTTGACATCAACTCCTCTTCCTTCTTTGTTGTTGGCGGATCCTTTTTCAGCACAACTGCACCGCTGCCTCCTGTCTGATAGTCCACCAGGCCTATGGTTATCATCATCATGATTCGCAGTGGCGGATGAGCTTGCAATGCGTGTGTGGCGGCTGTGAACTTCATCACAGGCCGACGCTGGGGACGGGGAAGGTGAGAGTAGTACAACCGCGTGCACACACACAGGCAGACAAAGAAAGAGAGACACATATGCAAACGCACAGGCAGACACACACACATGCTTTGGCACCTCACCTTTTCGCCTGAGCGTGCAGAGCTGCCACTCCAGCTTGGCGCACATGGGCACAACAAGATCATTGGGAAACGTCGCCCGTACCGCGTCAACATAGTCAAGCGTCTTGTCCGCCTACAAACGCACGAACGTGTGAATGCAAATTCTGAGCCCACACTGACACGCGTGCACACACCCGTGGCTCACAACACTCGGCTCTTATCATCGAAAGCAACGCACGTACACCACCTTGTTGAGGGCAAGGAGGATGGGGAAGCGGATGCGGAGGAAGTGGGCCACGACGCGGTGCAAATCCCGCGGGCCCCATGCGAGCATGGACCGCTCGATGTCCTGATGTGAATTTGCCAAGGACATGTCATGAAGTGGGCCCCGATGAATGAAATCGACACGAAACAATCGTCGTGAGAAATTCGTTACATTAAGCATTTTGAAATCGAACTTGAAACGAAATTAGAAAGCGTCCAGAACGGAAACATCAGCAATATGGGGTGCAATCACAAACAACACAGACACACGGCCACACAGACACAGACACAGACACAGACAGACAGACAGACAGACAGACACATAGACACACACATAGACACACACGAATACACCTGAAGACTGTGTCCAGCCCGCTTCAGACTGTCAATCACCATCCCTGGGCGAGACTGATAGCCAGAGAACATATTCACAAAATGGTCCAAGCCCCTACAGCGCACGTAGTGATTGCGTGATGCTTATGAGAGAGACAAATTGGGATGTGTGCAAGAAGGTGCATGCATGCGATAAACCCGAGACGAGAAGTGCAACACAACGCATCGCGTTGTCGGTCGTACCGGAGGCACTTGTTCCACTTGGCCCGGACATTGTTGAAGATCCACCGATGTATCTCTTCCTGCACCCACTGCACATCATCAGCTGGATCGCTAATGTTGGGATAGAGGGCGGGGCGGGGAGCCGTTGCAGTTGCGGTCAGGTTGAGATGGCAAGCAAATTGGGCGAGAACAAGTGAGGATGAAGCAGTGGCGGTTTGGGTTTGGGAGTGGATGAGGCACGAAGTACACAAATTGAGGGTGGCAGGGCCAACACACACACAGACGCCCACACGTGCAAACACACAGGAACACAGAGTCACGGACAGACACAGACACAGACACACACACAGGCACAGGAACACAAACACACGCACAACAGACAGACAGACACACCCACACACAGTCACGGACACACCCACCCACACACACACACACCCACACACACACCCACACACACACACACACACACCCACACACACACCCACACACACACACACACACACACACACACACACACACACACACAAAACGCAGGACAGTGGCCGCACCGCGAGCACTGTGCATCGATAACGCCGTTCTCATCGGACATGCCCGAGGCGTCGACGACGTGGATGAGCACATCAGCATCGCACAGGTCGTTCAGGAAGGCGTTGCCTTTGCCTCGGCCCTTGTACGCGCCGGGGACCAGCCCAGCTACGTCCTTGATGATCACAGGTACCTTGTATGTGTGTGTGCGCATGCGTGCGTGAGCACACGAGCATGTGCAGATACGGCCCGGTGCAGGCCTGCTGAGTGTGCCAAACACACTTGCTTGCAGAAGAATGGTTGCACCACAGGATTGCAATGAAAGCCACGGGAGTTTCACACGGATGTACCTTTCTGCGCCTGCCAATGGCAAATCCGTGTGCAGGTGTCGACTCCACACCAGGCAGTTGCTCAGATGGGCACGGCGTGCTGTGAGATATGACGTGCGTCGCATAGGTGTGCATGTGGGCGATGAATGAGAACAGTTGTGGAGGCGCGTATGTGTGAATGAGGCATAAGCCTTCAAACGGCAATAAACAAAAGGGTGTCGAGCAACACAACAATCAAGCACATGCACGCACACAGACACGCACACACAGAGTGTCGTACGTAAAGTATCCCTGGCCGACGTTTGGGTCGATGGTGGTGAACGAGTATGCGGCAACTTTCGCCGCTTTGGAGGGGTCCTGCGGTGGTCAGTCAGTGGCATCGACAATGATGGAGGAGGTACACGCAACGGCATCAGTTGTGTACGCGGTTTACAAGGGACTCAATGTGGCATTTGTTGCATGGGTGCGTGTGTGCATATGTGTGCATATGTGTGTGCATAGTGCACCAGCGCATGCAACGACACTGCCATAACAGTCATGGCGAACCTCGCAGCTCTCTGTCTCTCTCTATCTCTCTCGCTCACATACACACACACACTCTCTCTTACTCTCTCCCCTGTCCCTCTCTTTCTCACATTTCATCCATCACCTTGGGGTCTGTAATCGCGTTGAAGAATGTGGATTTTCCGGCTGACGGTTTCCCCACCAGTCCAATCGTGTACTTCCACACGCCTGCATCAGACCCACCATGCTGTTGCTGTTGCTGTTGCTGTGCACCACCACCACCACCACCACCACCACTGCTACCGTTGGTACTGCTGCTACTACTGCTGGTGGTGTCGGGTACACTGTATGCAGGGGCGTGGCCTGCAGGGTATGCAGCAGCAACCTCGCGGTGCAGCTGTCGTATGAACAGCGACCACTTGCGCTGCTCCTCCTCATCCTCATCCTCATCGCCGCCAGTGTCCATCATGCGCGCAACCGCCGCGCGCCTGCTTTGTACGGCGTCGTTGGAGTGCACAGATGACCAAGATGGAGCGGAAGATGAGTGTGCCGAGCCCCCTCGCTGCTGCTTTGTCTTCGTCGTGCTGCTACTGCTGCTGCTGATTGACGTTGCCTGCAGGCAAGCTGTGAGGGCGGTGAGGTCCTTTGCACCGCTGGTCACGTCCGCGTGCAGCTGCTCCAGCCACTGCTGCGCCTCATCCACCAGCGTCATCACCATGCACATGCCCAGGCTGTGCGTGCGTGACAATGTGAGTGTGTGTGTGAGTGTGCGTCGTGAGGTTGCGGGGACATGGATGGGCAGAGGTGAGCAGAGGTGTGCTGTTGAGTGCGCATCGATGAGAGAAGAAAGATGACGCGAGAGAAGAGGCAACGACACACACGTACGCACACACACACGCACACACACGCACGGACACAGACAGGTGCACAGACAGACAGACAGACATACACACACAAGCAAACAAGCAAACAAACACAAATACACAGGCAGACGCACGCGTCTTTGGCGACAGTTGAGAGGTGCGCAATGGCATCAGCAGCGAGCTGTCGTTCCACGTCACTGCCGTCCTTGACGCCAACCAGGGGCCCGACGTGCGACAATTGCATCACGGGCGCAGCATCGGGATACGCCTCCACAAACGTAACCGTGAGTGCTGGCTGCAGGTGCGCGCGCGTGTCCTTGGCAGACGTGTCGTCGTCATCGTCGTCGTCGTCGACGTCGTTGCTGATGGAGGGGTGGAGGGTGATGGTGATCATGGGTGGACGCTGCTGTAACAGCTGGAAGTCCGTCTGCACACGTACATGTGTGTAAATTGTGTGTGTGTGTGTGAGTGAGTGCGTGTTCACCGCGTTGTGTTGCGTGTTGTGAAGCACATTGCGTTGCGTTTGTGTCGTGGGAGTGAGCGAGATGATGTCAGCTATCCATTCTGCCACGCTGACGGCAAGTACTTCAACGAATGCACACATTCAAACACAACCATCCGCAACCGCACACACATACACACACGTGCGGACACGTACGTCGTAGATGGCTTCGAGGGACTCGAGCTCGTCCTGTTGCTCCTCCCTGTCAACACACACACACACACACACACACACACACACGCACACGCACCCACGCACAAAAACGTGAGTGCATGTAGGCACGTGATGCGTGCACGTCGACGAACGAGCACGTGTTGGCAAGATTGAAGCACCTCTTAGACAATGCATGAGCAACTGTTGACAGTGACGCATGCGTGCGGTCACTGACGTTGGGGAGAACGGACGTGGAGGTTCAGCTGCCTTATCACCATCGCCATCGCCATCAGCAATGACTTCTCCACTGTCGACATCACCGTCGTTGTCACTCAAGGCCGCACGAACGAACGCCGACAGCGCCGCCACCTCCTCCGATCGTGACGGGAATACGTGCGCTGGTGGTGTCATCATGTGTCAAGAACAGTTCCGCAAATGCACCACAGTTGACGCGATACGGGCGAGGGTACGTGAGAACTGTTGGTCTACGCTGCTTGTGTTGTTCCAAGGAGAAGTTGCGCGTGCAGTCCAAGCGTTCACACTACAAACGACAGCCATGTTCACACCGCACCTTTATCGTGTCGGTAAACGGTTGCGTGGTGGAAGGCTTGTGCCAGCTTCTCGCTCGACTGCGGGGCAACGACAACATCTGCTGTGCCAATGAAGTGCAGCGACGGCACACTGCACTGCCTGCAGAGCGCAGCGCACGTGGAGGCGTGGGTTAATGGAAGCGTGACAGGCACAATCTCGCGTGTGCGTGCGTGTGTTGTGTATGTGTGTGTGTTTGTGTTTTGTGTGTGTGCGTGTGTGTGCTTGTGTTTGTGTGACTACCATTAGGGCACACCTTGGCACACACATTGCCCAGCCCCAAGTGGTGTCGTGTACGCTGCGCGTACTTACTTGTCAGGAGAGAGGATGCCGTGTGGCGAAGCAGGCGTCGTCGGCAGGTGATCGTGAGGGGCGCCAGCAATGGCGATGAACTTGACGCTTGCAAGCGCGGCCGCCAGTGTTGGATATGCATCGCTCTGCTGGCTGATGTGCTCGCGGTTGCAGGCCAGCAGCGCAGCAAGGGCTCCGCCCTGGGAGAAACCGAAGATGCCGCTCAGAGCTGGCACGCCACGCTGCCGCAAGAACTCGTCCAGCTGCTGAAGCGTTGTCGTCCACGCTGCACATGTAGTTGTTTGTGGGTGACATTGTGTGTGTGTGTGTGTGTGTGTTGTGATTGCGTGAGTGTATGAATGTGCGTTGGTCGGGTAGTTGTGAGCCTCGCGAGTGAATGTGTGCAAGTATGTACGTAAGTGTGTGTGTGTGCTTGCGTGTGTGTGTGTGTGTGTGTGTGTGCGTGTGTGTGTGTGTTTGCGTGTGTGTGTGTTTGCGTGTGTGTGTGTTTGCGTGTGTGTGTGTGTGTGTGCGACAGTGCAGATCAGCACACCAGGTTGACTTGCAGCAATGCACCGTGTGACGTACCTTGTGTGGAGGAGTCGTTCCACCATGATCGCATGGGAATGTCATCGCCATCCTCAATGGGCAGCTCAAATGGGGCATCTGGAAAATGAAACCTACAAATCGTGCGAGGGGGAGGGAGAGGTGAGCGCATCAGGGAATGACCCATGCACACATGCACGAGTCGAATCGTCAGCGCGTGGCACGTCTGCAAATGCCCTCAAAGCAGCAGCACAGCGTGTGTTCGACGTGCATGTCACCCCGGGCTGCACCAACGCACAGACACAAGCATACACAAGGACACAAGAACACAGAGACACACACAGACACACAGACACACAGACACACACACAGCAACACACAGCAACAGACACAGCAACAGACACAGCAACACACAGCAACACACACACACACACAGACACACACACACAGACACACACACACAGACACACACACAGACACACACACAGACACACA